TGAGAAGCACAGAGCCGAAGACACAAGCCTGAAGATGATGAATGAGACTTCATCGAAACGTTGCCTAGATACTTCCAATCTTACGCGGGAGAAAACCCGAATAACCAAAGATCCACATACAAATACCCGCGAGAACCTCAGAAATATAGATATAGATAGACTTATATACCGCTTCACAGTACTTTACAGCCCTCTCTTGCCTCAAAGAAGAGGGAGTCAAGCTATTCTCCAATGCATGTGAAGGAAGGACAAGAAGCAGTGGATGGAAACTAATCAAGGAGAGAAGCAACCTGGAATTAAGGAAAAATTGCCTGGCAGAACAATTAACAACTTGCCTTCAGAAGTTGTGGGTGCTCCAACAGTAGAAGTTTTTAAGAAGAGATTGGACAACCATTTGTCTGAAATGGTATAGGTTATTTGCTTCAGCAGGGGATGGGCTAGAGCAGTGGTCGCCAACCGGTGGGCCATGAGAAAATTTTGGTGGGCCACAGAGAAATCTCACCCCAAGAGCACCTCCCCCCCAAAGGAATTAATCCAGGCTGCACAGAAACACAAGTGCCTGTGCTGCCCACATGGCCTGCGGGAGCCCTCCCCGCCTACTCACTCCTTACCCGGTAAACTTGCCTGCTAAATTTCTATTTTTCCTTTTTCCAACCATCATCTGTTCTCTGTGCTGGGAGATTTAGATTAGCTAGGAAGCAGAAAATGGTTGGATTTCTTGCTTTCCAGCTAGTCTTTAGATTTTCGGCTCTGCTTTTAAGTACAGCCAGACCTCCCTTAGGACTGAAGTTTTGCTTGCAAGCAAATTCAGTGCAGACTCACGGCAAGCAAATTTGAGAGACTGAGCTAGCCAATGGCAGGTAGATAGATAGATAGATAGATCATTGAATGATTCTGTAAGCAACTCAATCTGCCTGCTTTGCCTGATTTTGGGTATAAGTTGCTCTTTTTTTTATAAAAAAAATCAATATTTACATGCATGGTGTGTTGTGAATTAATTTTATGAGTTTGCGAGCAAATTTTATGTGACAGACTGAGCTAGCTGATGGCAGATAGATTTCTGAATGAATCTGTGATTCTGTGAGCAACTCAATCTGCCTGCCTGCTTTGCCTGATTTTGGGTAAAAGTTGTTCTTTAATAAAAAAAAGTTCAATAGTTATATAAATATTTATAATATTTACGTACAAGCCATGCCCAGCCAGTCACATGACCACCAAGCCACACCCACAAATTAGGCCACACCCACAGAACCAGTTAGTGGTCCCTGGGATCTAAAATTATGAGTTTGGTGGTCCCTGGGGTCCAAAAGGTTGGCGACCCTCTGGGCTAGAAGGTCTCCAAGGTCTCTACAGTTCTGTTATTCCATTAAATTCAGTCATTACTTAAAAGGCAGAGGATCTGTTGGCATAACTCACTCAAATACGGCAAGCAGTGGAAAAAATTGTGTGCTTCATTGATTATAGAAAGACCTTTGATTGTGTTGATCACATCAATTTCAGAAAAATGAGAATTCCAGAATATCTCATTGTCCTCATGAGAAACTTACACACCTGTCAGGAAGCCACAATACAAACAGAACAGACTGGCTCCAGGTTGACAAAGGACTGCAACAAAGTTGCATCTTCCCTCCTTATTTATTAAACTTATATGTTGAATATATATTAAGGGAAGTTGGATTGGAAGATGATGTGGTTTTAAAATTGGAGAAACATTAATTACCTCTACTATCTGATGACATTGATCCTGATAGTTGAAAATGTAAACGATTTGCAAAAAGGTAATAAAACCTAAGGAACACAGGGGAAAAATGGGATTAAAATTAAAGACCAAATTAGTTACAACAAGTAGCCTTATAATTGACAGTGAAAATATTGAAATGGTAGATAGCTTCTTGTCTTTTAGGATTAACCATCAGCAGCAAAGCAACAAGAGGACTGGTCACTTAGCAACTATTTGAAGTTCTATCGACCTGCCCCCTCAGGCCCCATTTTGACGTTAACGGCCATTGCAATCATTCACTTTTATGACCACAAGGACACTGCAGCACCCGCCTCCCATCTCTCACCCCACCAGGTTCCCCTAGTTCCTCCCACAGGTCTCGTATGCTGTTAGCATAAAAGGATTTTATGGAGATTTCTTTATTCTTTCATAGAATAAATATATTTCCAATCAGTACATGGGATTCAAATCAAAATTGTTTTTCACATAGAAATTTGTTTTACAAAGTAGGCTATATAAATGAAAGGTAATTATACTCTGTTTTGTGTTATTTAGCTAAAAGGAGCGACCAAGAAGTGAAGGATGAAGAGATGGAGTTGTTTACAAAATACTACCTGGAATGGAAAGGAGGAAGAAAAAGTGCCAGTACCTCTTATGTGAACATACCACGATTTTATTACAGGGTAGGTTTTCAGTGTTGCTCTCGGCAAGGTCTTTAAAATACACACAGTTTTTATGGTTAAACAAGTTAATTAAGAATAAGCCTCCAAGGATCATTAAAATTATATAAAATCTAGAGTACTATTTCAGCTGGTCTCAGATTTTTAAAACTTCAGATATTTAAAAACTGCAAGATTAAGTTGGATGTTTTGATACAAATAGTCAAAATATATCAAAGAAATTTCAACTTCTTGAAAAGCAAGATACTAGAACAATATCATTTTTTTACACAAAACTATTTTTAAAACTGATTTCTGTAGATACAGAATTATCTACAATGTTAGACACAACTGTTTTTTTTTTACTAGGAAGAGAATTAGTTCTATTGACTGGGAGTGGAATCAGGATTGAAACTCCACGTCAACAAAAATAATACATTAATTCTATTAACTTGTATCATATCTAGTAAAATTGTAATAGTATTGCACATACAGGTTTGTGATATATTGTGTAAATTTAAGGATCCAATTCAAGGTGTTGGTTATTTACTTATAAAGCCCTTTATGATATGGGACCAGGGCATCACCTCAAAGGGACTAGCTCACCCTATTGGTTCCAATGGAAAGGGCCTAATTTGGATCCCATGTGCCAAAGAATTTTTGTCTCGCAGTGTCCAGAAGTCCTTTTTCTACTGTGGCCCCTGTCCGCTGGAATATTCTCCCATTAGAAGTGAAGACTATCCTACATTATTTGGCCTGGGCTGCTACATTGGGTATGGTTAAATGGGTAGAGAAGATCCCTACCCCAGACTGCTCATCATCTTGGTTTTTAGCTTTTCTTTAATTCCTCTAATTTTGTCTTTTAAGACTTTTTTCACTTTTTGTTATATTTTAAGCCACCCACAGTCATTATATCAGTGAGACGCATGGCATAAATAAGTAGGTAAATAAAGTGTGTTAACACTTTCATCTTTCATTATCTGAAACAGTACTACTGTTCAGTGAAACCTCATTTTAATGAACTAATTCAAAGAAATCTGGTCCAAAGTTTATCCATAAGCACAACCAGTGAAGTTCATTATGAACCCTGAACTGAAACCTGACTTTCAAGGGTCCAGATAATTTATTCCTTTTGAGTTCGGACCTACAAAGCACAAATTGGAGACCAGTCTAACTGTTAATATAGTTAGATCAAGGGAATGCTTCTTGTGCAGAAGGTGCAACTAGATTGTTTAAGTGGTAATGGATGACTCCATTCAGGTGTTGATTCCTGCTTGAATCCAAGCTAATGCTACTTACATAAGAGGCCTTAACTAGCCATAGGTGTTACTAATACAAGTAGAAGGTGGTGATGGTGATGGTAAAGAAGACCTATCTGTCTTTAGGACACTCAGGATCAAACTGTTAGTTCATTTCACAGGACAAAGCCCTAGTCCCTTCTATTGTTATTCTCCAGTTACCAACTCCATTAAAATAATTTATCCACCAAATTATTTATCAGAGGCTAGAGAGATCAGCATGGAATTCCTGTTTGACCAGATAAGAAGGAATGAAGGCCTTGAACATGACATGTGAATAGCAATGTTAATTTAGTAACAGCCTCATAAGAGAATTGCACATGGCAAGCTGAAACATTTGGCTAAAAAATAAGTTGCAAGACAAATGAAACAGTGGAGAACTCGGGTTTTTTGGGGGAAAGAATGGATGCCAGCCTTATTTATTTGAGTTATAAGTTTAGACTCTTAGGTATACTTTTATGGAAGTGGTAATACCCAACTTCCTATTTAGTTTCTTTTATCTCTACATTTTTACTTTTTAACACCCTCTGTTTGTTTTTCAGTAAAAAAAACTTTTATTATAAAGGGGGTTTATTGGATTATAGAAAGAAATTGAGGCAATTGTTAACATGCATGGAAGAAGCTAAGTACTATCAATTGCCAATGATTCTTTGTTGTTCATTAGTAATAATGGATAAGGAGGCAAGGGAAAAGACAGCCAAAGATAGAAAGAAAGAAAGAAAGAAAGAAAGAAAGAAAGAAAGAAAGAAAGA